TAGTCACAGCAGCTTTGGTTCGATCCCTGGCCCCAGACCTGACCCACATGGCACCACCTCTCCTATCTCACCCGCTGCTCCCCTCAGCAGTGTTCCTCAGTGGGCCTGTTCTGCTCCCCACTCTGTCTCTGGTGAATCCTCTCACTGCTCCTGCACCTCTGGCCTGTACCCCAGTTCTGTATGAATAAATTTAAAAAAAGTTCACTTGTCAGATGACAGACACCAAACTTCAGTCCAAGCTACTGGAGGGATGCCACAGGGAGGGGAGGGAAGCCCCCCACTCAAATGGACTCTGCTAGCAGATTTATGACAACAGAGCCTCTGCACTATTATTTTTTCAAGATTTATTTTTGCATTCAGAACTGGGGTACAGGCCAGAGGTAAAAGGGTGAGAGGATTCATCAGAGACAGAGTAGGGAGCAGAACAGGGGAAAGAGTGGGGACAGAGTGGGGAGCAGACTGAAATACACTGCTGAGGGGAGGAGCAGCAGGACAGGAGAGGTTTGCTGGGCCATGTGGGTCAGCTCCCTGGCCGGGGGTCGAACTTATGCTGCAGTGGCTGGTGATAGCTTCAATAGTGCTTCGCTTTAACCTGTTGAGCCACTAGGGAGGTCCCCCTTGGATTTTTTTTTTCTTGTATCACTATGAGAGTTTATTATTATTTTTTTTATCATTCAAACATTTTTTTTCTCTCATTTTTTTAATTTATTACAAAGTTTATTTTTACATCATTTTGTACATTTTTTTTTCATCTCAATTGTAGTCCTTGTGGGTTTCCCATCACTGAGTCACCTGTGTACCATCTCCATAGTCCCGTGCACTTCCCTACCCCCTCCCCTGTTTTTGATCCCACTCCCCACTCCACCCCCACAAAATGTCCTGGTATATGGTTGTTCATAATTCTTATTATTTTCTCATCTGGTCCATTATACTCCTGCTATGAGCGAAACCATCCAGTATTTTTCTTTCTCTTTCTGGCTTATCTCACTGAGCATGATCTTTTCCAGCTCCATACCCCTTGGACTTTTTAACGTACCATGTAAGCTCCGTCTGCTTTCGTAAACCCCGGTTTAGTGACTGTCACATTGGTCCCTGTGATGGTGGGTTGTAACTTTAATTAAAGGTGCATCTATGAGAACTCTACCAATGTGAGTGAAGCAAAGTTTTGTCACTTTTGGTTAAAAGAGTTTTAAGTTCTCTTATATATATCCATCTGCTCCTTAAGCTACTCTTCTGTGAAAGCGACCCACCACTTGCATCCTGGCGACAAGCTAGACATGACTCCTTGAAACGGAAGATTCAGCACAGGCCAGTGCATTTTGATGAGTTGAGGAGCAAAATACCAGGACCATTTTGGTAATTCCTAACAAAATAACATCTGACTTTTTGAGTGTCATTTTTGGTTTTCCTTTTTGGACATGAAACTTTTTACCTTTTAAGGGAATTTGGAGGTGTCTCAACCCCGGAGATGATAAATACAGCTTGTTTCTCTCCCAGAGTGTAGTGACACCTCCTTGTACAGAATAAAAATTATTTTAATGCAAGTTAAAGTTCGGTTGGCCCATATAACCCTGATAGATGAGGAGTGTAGCTTTAGAGAGTGAGTGAAAAAATTGGATTCCTCTTAAAAAAAAATTATAAAGAGAAGCCAGTCCTGGAGGGCAGCTTAGTAAGGTCAAGTTGACTTTTAGGGGCCCTCCCTGGTGATGCAATGGGTTAAAGCACAGCAGCAGCACTGTGAAGCTGGCCACAGCTGCTTCAGCACGAGTTCAATCCCCAGCAGGGAGCTGACCCACATGGCGCAGCAGACACCTCCTGACCCGCCTGCTGCTCCCCTCAGCAGAGTACTTCACTCAATCCACCTGTTCTGTTCTCCACTGTTTCTGGTGAATCCTTTCACCACCACCCTTCCCCATGCCTCTGGCCTATACCCCAGTTCTTGTATGCATAAATAAATGAATCTTAAAAAAAGAAAAGAAACTCTTTAATAGAGCCAACCAGGCCGTCTGGGGATATTCAAGAAATTCAGAGGGCTCTGCCCTTAGGACCAGTACAGTCTTTCCATAAGCCAGTTAAGCACACTGCGTCTGTTGCCCAAAAAATGGTTGTTTTTTTTTTTTCTTCCCAGTATAGAAAAGTAAGAGCAGGTTTGTTCCTACTTGCCAACTAAAGTGATGCAGGGTTGCTGTGGACAGACAGACAGACAGGTTGTGCCCTGCACAAGGGCTCTGTATTGAAGCCTTATGGGCAGGTATAGTTATTATCTGTTTCTTGGGGAATTCTGGCAGTCAAGTATTTAAGAAAATTTATATTAAAATACCTGACAGATGAGGCCTTCCCTGGTGGTGCAATGGGTTAGGACACAGCACTGCAGCTGCCTCAGAGCAAGTTCTATTCCCCGCCTGGAGGTAATCTACATGGCACAGCAGACCTCTCCTGTCTTGCCTGCTGCTCCTCTCAGCAGTGGTGTATTTCAGTAGATCCACCTGTTCTGCTCCCCACTCTGCCTCTGGTGAATCCTCTCACCGCCCCTGCACCTCTGGCTTGTACCCCAGTTCTGTATGCATAAACAAATAAATCTTAAAAAAAAAAAGAACTGATAGATGGAACTTAGTGGTGTGACAAGCACCTTTTTCTAACTTGCAAAAAAATATTGTATAGAAATGCCACCCAGGAACTTAGAAATACAGAGTAGCCTGTTTCTAGGAGCTTTTAGGATACAGAGGTCCTGATGCAGCCACCTCAGAGATGACAGAGCCCTGACTCCTAGGACATCATGAGTCTATAGTGCTTTTAATCATTGAACTGGAACCTGGCCTTCGTGGGTCTGTGGTTCCATCAGCCTTTGTGGCTCTGGATGATGGAAGTTTTTGAGAGGTTCTCTCTGAGGTTTTAACAGACCCTGACAGGGTAACTTCAGTGAGGTCCAGCCCCCTTTTAGCAGAACTCAGAACTTCTCCTAGTGAAGTGGGTGCTAGCTGACCTCATTTTCAAACCCAGGAAGAAGTATGTTTATTAAACATCTAACATTTGTTAAGACTCCTAAGTTCCCAACACAGCAAGACTAGTTGGGCCCTGACACCTGTGTATTTAACAGGCACCCCAGGTGGCTGTCATGGCCAGGTAAGTGCGGGAAGCCCTATTCTAATACTGTTTCTAAAAAGGGACTTAAATCAGGCCATCCCCTCATCTCAAAAAGGGAAGAGACAGGCAAGCGGGAGGCAATATTCTAGCTCAAAAAGGCTGGTAAATGTAGTGGGGAAAGGCAAAGAAAAACCTAAACCAAATCCTGGTTTTAGCCCTTTCTAGGCTGGGTCAGGGGAGCAACTGCCTGGTGTGGCAGGTGGGTGGAGAGCTGGTTGAGTGTACAGGAATCTGACCTTTGTGGGGGCTTGGGGGAGGAGGAAAGGAAGCTCATCAGGCAGCAGCCACAGGTCAAAGAGCAAAGCAGCCCCAGAGCTGTCTGCCCGCTGGTCTGGGATTGGGCCACTGGGTCAACACCCAGGTGAAAGGATAGGCCTTTGTTTTGTCCACTGTTAAGGACCAATGACACTTGGGACTGGAGTGCTATGCATGAGAGAATGGGGGAATGGGAGCCTGGCCTCCATCCTAGACTCAGGGAGGGCTGCAAATGATTTCCCAGACTTTGACCCTCCTCCCCATTGTCACCCATGCTCAGAACAATGGTCAGGATGAGACTCACATCTAGGCTGCAGTCTTACTGCCCACAGAGCCTTTAGCAGAGGCCGGCAACAGGCCTGGAGGTGCAGTAAAAAGGGATCCTTCAAGGACCTGTTCTAATCTTCATTGGCTAGAAAGTTTCAGGTTTGTTCTACTTTTTATGACCGTGGCTGCCCTACCTTGGGGAAGGAAAAGCGCTGAGCAGATTCTAAGTTCTCTGACCCCCAGGAATTCTGACCCTGGAGCCTCCTCACTGGCAGACACTTTAGCGGTACGCCTGCTTTACCCACTGGGCCCGGCATGAAAAGTGAGAGGGAGGCTAGCACAGGCATCAGGGGGCCCACTGGGACTGCCCACCTTTCCTGCCTTCCTAGAAGCAACAGCTGCTTCCTATTTCCCTTGTTAGTGGGGGCAGGTTAAGGACAAGAAAACAACCCAGTTCAAGCTGGCTCACTCTGCCAGTGTGAGTTAGGGGAAGGGGCCCTGTCAGCTGTGGGGTGCTGGGAGCATAATGGACTCGGAGCCTGAAACCCACAACTGAGCATCAGCTGTGCCACTTCACAGCAGGTCTTCGGGCTGCGTTTCAACTTGAGCCTCACTTTCCTCTTTTATAAAATGGACTTAACAGCACCCACCTCTCAGCGTGCTGCAGGGGTTAACGTGAAGGCACATGCAGCTGTCATTGCTATTGCTACCCTGATCCCTGCACTCAGGACAAACTGGGGAGGGGCCTGAGCCTCCCACCCCTTCAGAGGCCAGCCTTCCAGTTCCTCCCCTGCCCCCAGAGAACACGATGTAACCGGCTGTCATTGGGGACTGCGCTGTCCTCCCCTCGGGGCTCCAGGCACACCAGCCTGGAAGAGCAGTGACCAGGTGTGGTCATCAGGGAGCAAGGTTCAAGACCAACAGGCAGGGCCGGAAGGAGGTGGGAAGGCGGGGTGCAGCGGGGGCAGAGGGGTCACTGGTAAACACTTTACACAACCGAATGGTAAGACCTTGGGGGAGAGAGAAAAGGCAGGAGGGAGGGAGTAAGGGCAGTCAGGTGTCCAGAACCTAAGTGAGGCCTCTTGGCCTGGGGTACTCAGGGAGACCAATGGCAGCTGGGGCAGGGCCAGAGCCCTGTGCTGGCCTCACCCCACAATGTAGGCCCTCCACGCATTTGCTGTTTTCCTCAGTTGGCAGGTTGAGCCTCAATGATTCAGTCTCCTCACCCTCAGCCCCCAAGGCTGAAAAGCAGGGAGGGGCAGGGAAGAGCAATAAAGGGGTTCCAGGACCCCCTGAGGTTGAAGGGGACTGAAGGGGACTTAGAAATCAGAGCAAAAAGGCCAAAAAGATTTTTACTCTGTGAGCCCTAGTGAGGACCGGGCAGAGAGCAAGGTGTCCACAGGAGGGGTCAATGGAGGGGAACCGGGGGCCTGCAGCCTTGTTTCCCAGTGTGGGGAGAAGTGAGGGTGGTGAAGGCCAGGCGTGGCCCGTGAGCTCCAGGGGGCTCCAGCCCTGGGCCCAGCTGGAAGCCGGCTCCCCCAGAGTCACACCAGAGTCCTCAGCAGTCCTGACACGGCGGGGTTGGCCTGCAGCCTGTCAGGAGAGAGGGAAGAGGCCAGCACGGCTGACCACAGCTGATCCGAGTCCTGCCCCAGGCTGCATCTTTCCTGGGCAGAAGAGGGCGCTGCCCGGGCAGGGCGACCGCAAGGCAGAAAGCCGTCTTCGCCCGCAGGAGCCACGCTCCAACTCTTCAGCTTCCAGGTCAGGGTTTCGCGTCCGGGGATGCTGGGGTAGGCTCAAAGCTCGTCAGGGGGACTGTGCGTGAGGGGGGATGCCTTTTGGATGCCCTCCTCCTCTTCAGGGCTGGGGTCTCCTCCGAGGCCAGTGAGCTCCTTCCTCTGTTTGCTGCCACTGCCACCCAGTGTCTTGCCCCTGCTGCTCTTCTTCTTCGACTTCTTCCCTCCCAGGGCTGCTGTGTCCCCCTTCTTGCCAGACCACTGCTCTGCCAGGCAACCTGAATGAGGAGGAGAGGGGCCTCAGCAGTCTGGTTTGCTGCATGAGGGCCAATGGAGCCAGTGGCCACCAGAACTAGTGCCCAGCAGTCCCAACCTCTGGCTCACTGGTCTGGGGCCTTGTCAGGCTCCACCAGGTTTCAGCACCTCTCACCTCCTCCTGTCCCATCAAGCTCCCTCAGGGCAGAGAGACCAGTGTGTTCCTATTTCCTATTTGTTTTCCACCCTCCCCTCCCCTCCTCCTGTGAGGAGCCGACCTGCCCTGCCCTCTCCCTCCCTAAAACTCACTGGTGTCCTTCCCCTTCAGCACGTGGTTGGCGCAGAGGAACTGAGTGAGGTCCTCCTCCTGGTGGTTCCTGTACCAGTCCTCGATCACCTCCTCAAACTCTTCCACCAGCACGTCGCACTGCAAATCAAACACCTCATGTTGCCAGAGGCCAAGCACCGACTTGCCTGTTCCCACAAGTCCCTGCGTCCCACCACCCACTGCAAGACAGGAAGGTGACGGCGACTCTAGGGAAACTGAAGCCTGTCGAGACTCAACCCCCACCCACCTGCTGGGCACAGCAGCTTTGGAGGGCCCAAGGGCCTGTACCTGCTTCTTGAGGTCAGCCACCTCTGCAGAGGTCTCGTTCCACAGCTCGTAGGGGATATCCATCACCACCTTGACCCCTTTGTGTACCAGGTTGTGTAGGGTCTCAAAGGTCTCTGACATGCCCTGGGGGAGGTGACCAGATGTGAGAAGCAGACACACCTTCTCTGCCTCCCAGCCCCCTCGCACACACCCTCTGTCCTTCCAAGAAAGACTGTCATTGTCCTCAGGCCTCTGAACAGATACTGCTTTTCTAGGAAATACATTTGTCTTGGCTCTCTGCCCTTGCTGTAGCTGGGTACATTCGCTTCTCTATGTCCAAGCCACTGCCTGCTGGGTTCTTCCCAGGGCTTGTCCCTTTCCCTGGTGGAAGAGGGCACAGGTTAGGCAGGAAGGACTTTTTGAGCTATAAAGCTATAAAATCAGCTGTCTTCCAGCTGATTCTTTCCGGAAACAGCATACCATCTATTTCCTCTATCTTTCCAGAGAGTACATACAAATATATGCAAATATGCGTACAAAAATACTCTTTTCTACCCCATTTTTACACAAGCAGTACTATAAATCATATACTACTCTACACTTTTTTTTTTTTTTTAATGTATACAAGAACTGGAGTACAAGCCAGCGGTGCAGAGGGTGAGAGGATTCCCCAGAGACAGAGTGGGGAGCAGAACAGGCAGATCATCGAAGTACACTGCTGAGGGGAGCAGCGGGCGGGTCAGGAGAGGTCTGCTGCGCCATGTGGGTCAGGCCCCTGGCCGGGGAGCAAATTCATACTGCGCTGACTGTGGACAGCTAAATAGCACTGTGCTTCAACCCACAGTGCCACCAGGGAGAGCCCTGCACTCTTCTTTTATTACCTAGCAATATACCATGGCGAAACTTTATTTCATTTCAAAAAGAGCTACCTCATTCTTTATTTTACAGTTGCATAATTATCCACTGAAGGACCCTATCACTTAACCACGCACCATACGGGTGAATGACTAGGTTGTTTCTAATTTTTTCACTATAGAAAATAATCTGAAACATTTGTTTACATGAAAGCAAGCGTGGATGGTTTGAGGACAAGATGCATACAAAGTTTAAAGACAAGACCTAAGACTTATGTGGCATAAGTCTGTCCCCCCAGTTTCCCAGGGGTTTCTGTCTAATCTCCTCCCTAGAAGGTACTTGGGTGGAGAAATGTGGGAGATAACTGTCTTAGCACAGGAAGACGTAAAGGAAACACGGGACTTACTGGAAGTTCATCACCCAGGGAGAGAAGCTCTTGTGCGCTTGGTAAGCACATTAAACCCCTCTAGGTGCTGAAGGTCCATGTAGGCCCCTCTTGGCCCAGAGGAGGAAGTGGGTACTCAATCATCAGCCCCCAAGCTCTCCCAATGTCTCCTGCAAACCCCCACACCCTGCGCATCTGAGCTCTCCCTGCAGGAGCAGTCCTGGCAGGGGATCCACCTTGGGTGTTTCTGCACGACTCAGCAGAGCCTTGATGGGCTGCCCCCTGTCACTATGGATATGTGTCGCGTGCCACCCAGCAGGGAGGAGGGCAAATGGCAGTCCATGAAAAATGGGAAGAGGCCAAGAAGGCAAATGCCTAGGGCATCTTCTTCAAAGGGCTGCCCCCCGGCAGACAAGTTTAGATTCACACAGGCCCAACCTGGCTGGAATGAAGGACAAATACACAGCCAACCTTGGCAAACCGGTTGCTGCCGGTCCTCTCCTTGTGCAGACTGTAGTCCAGGAGCCTCTTGCAAATGGTCTCAGTGACTTCAATTAACCGTAAGTCCCTGTGAGACAACAGTGCGCGAGGGGCTGAGTCCCCCTCCCAGCCCCCTCGGGCCTGCGGCCGTCCCTCCAGCCCTGTACCCCAACACCTGTGCATCTCACCAACGGGAAGTCAGAGCTGGAAGGAAGATAGGTCATCTGGTCTGGGGGCTCTGAAATGCTGGAACACAGACCAGAGAGACAAAATTTTAACAGCTCTATGGGAAATTTTTTTTATAAAGCTAAATGAATGATTCAGTATTTTGATTTTTTTTTTACAAAGCAAAACTGACTAAATTTTGATGTTAAAATACTTCTGTTTGAAAAGATAATCATAGCCGATGGGAGGTTTTTTTTTGCTTTGTTTTTATAATATTCATTCCTGGCAAAATGAAAAGCAGGCAATCCTGAATTACCAAAATTTTAAGAAATTACATCGGTCCATGAAATCTAAGAGTCTGAGAATCCCTGATAAGGTCCGACAGCCTTGCTTTTACAGATAGAGTCTGAAGTTGGGAGGAATTAAGGGATTTATGAAGGGTCCACACCGGGTGGGGCGGAACCAGAATCTGGGCCAAAACGTCTCAGTCAGAGCTTCCTCCCTTTGGTGAGTCTGCCTAGCTGAAAGGGAGAAGGGAACGCCAAGCCCCCAAAGCTTCCAGGAACAAAGCAGGTCAGCCAGTGGGTGCCCCATTCGCTTACGACTTGGTGTACTTGACCCCGGAGGCCTTCCGGTCCAGGATGCCATAGCCGGTGTCAATCACCTCCTTGGTCTTGCCAGTTTCCTCAAAGGCTGACTTCAGCTCCACAGCAACGTATTTACACACTGGGAGGGGGACACAGCACAGTGTGAGTGTAGGCGAGGGGTTGGGGGACAGCATCTGGCACACACACAGGGGTGCCTCTTCCAGGTCCTGGCCAATGCTGGGGGCAAGAAGGACCCAGCATCAGACCACCAAACGGACTGCACTGGGTGAAATTTGGCTCCCAGGTCCACTGCCCTGTGTCCACTCTTGACCCTTACCCCACTGACATAATTTCTCCCAGTTCCTCCCTGCTCCTACCTGGGGAGGCAGGAAAATTTTACTTTTAAAATTTTCAGAAATCCAAGAGCTTATATTCAACAATTGTTACTTATCACAATCTCGCTTATGTAACATAAAATATGACAGCATTTCTCCATGATATGTATGGTGCTTGGTAACACTCTGAAGCTGAGGACATCATGATTTTTCACCCCTAAATAAGTCAGCATGCATCATTTGAGAATAAGGGCCGTTTCCCGCGTAACAGTAAAGCAACTATGGGTACTTGGAAAATCAACAGTACATTTATCATCATCTAATACTCAGACTACACACAGAACTCCTCAATTGCCTCTTATGGCTGCTTTATTAGGGTTGAGTTCATATGTTGCTCCAGCACCTGCTCTCTATCCCTATCACTTAATTTGTTCCACCCCTATCTTCCCTCCAGAGATGCTGCTTCCAGTTACCGCATATTTATTTTTTTTACTCCCTCTTACCTTTCCTCAAAATGTTAAGCAACTCTGATGTGTCAGGCACTGCCTGAGGATAGAGACATGAAAATAGAGTGCCTCCCTCCAGCTACTCAGCCTAATGGGGCACAAAGAAGTATAGACAAATAGTTACTAAAGCAAGAGAAGCAGGAGAGTATGAAGTGCCTGAGGCCTGGGGAAAGCACTTGATGCCCTTGAGGGGCTTTTCTGCCCCTAAGCCTTAAAAGTCTCCTCCCCCAGGAAGCCCTCTGGGTGAATCCCCAAAGGCTCTGGATTTCATCCAGGCCCTGCAGGGTTCTTGCTCTCACTAAGGGCCTTCAGGCATCTGCGTCTCTCCAACTGGATTTCAAGGGCACTTGAAGTGAGTGTCATGTTCCGGGATTACTCTAGTCTGGGACTTTATGGGTTTAGATACTTGAAAAACATTGCTGTTAGAGACTGTGTGTGTTTGAGCAGCTTCTGATGCCTCCAAATGGAATAAGGTCTGCAGCCTATATGCCATCAGAGTTGTCCTAACACTGAGAGCAGTTTGGTAGAAACCAATTTACCACCAAAACAGATAAATCCCCTGTAGGCTTGCTTGGTGAAGTTTTTTTTTTTTTTGTTTTTGTTTTTTTCAAGATTTATTTATTTAGGCCCTCCCTGGTGGCGCAGCGGGTTAAAGCACTGCACTGAGAAGCTAAAGGCCACTTCCGCATGAGTTTGATCCCTGCCTGCCAGGGAGGTAACCACATGGCGCGGCAGACCTCTCCTGGCCCGCCCGCTGCTCCCCTCAGCAGTGTACTTCGTCGATCTGCCTGTTCTGCTCCACACTCTGTCTCTGGTGAAGCCTCTCACCGTCTCTGCTCCTCTGGCCTGTACCCCAGTTCTGTATGTACAAATAAATAAATCTTAAAAAAAAAAAGAAAGATTTATTTATTTATTCGTATAGAACTGGGGTACAGGCCAGAGATGCGAAGGGTGAGAGGATTCGCTTGGTGAAGTTTTATAACATATATAAGTAGGTGGCTGGAAGAAGTTGGAAGACAAGAAAATGCCAAAGCAGAGGGGAGATCTCAGAATGTGCAATGAAATGAAGGCATCTCAAACCCAGGCCCATTTGGGCTCCTCCCCTCTTCTGTCCTATACTCTGTAAGCTCCTCATTCTTCTGGCTCCTTTGCCTCTTTCTCCCACGCCCTCAATATGTAGTATTCCAGGCCAGGGGTGCTGGAACCCATCAACCCCTCTCTCTTATACCCATCAACCATAACCTTGCTTCCTAATGCTTCCAAACCTTATCTTGTCAAGACCCCCTCTGGGGATCCCACCCAGAACCAGACTTGGAGAAGAATCATGGCACAGACCCCAGGCCCCCATGGACATCCACCCACTCTTTTTCTGGGCAGGTTTTCCTTCCTCTGTGCCAAGGCCTGTTGCATTCGGGCTCCTGAGCCAAGAGGCAGGTTTTGTGGGGCAGACATAGCCAGCCATTTAATAATCAAGTGTAACAATGATAAATAAAAGTAACACAGTCTTAAGAGGAGCCTGAGGGCTGGAGTTTGCCAAGTCATCCTGTGACTGAAAATCCCCTTTAAATGAATCTTTACCAATTACCTACAAAATGAGGTTGGGCTAGAATGATCTGTAAGATCGCTATCTGTGCTATGCTTCTAGGACTCTGTAGCCACCTCCTGAAGGAAAGATGAGAATGGCTATGAGAATAAGGGACTTTCTGGTATTAGAGTAATAAGACAGGTAACAAAAAAGGAGGAAGGGAAATCCTCAAAGGGTATCAACTAGACGCAAGAAAGAGTAAAAAAAGGAAGCATCATGATCCCCAATCTGTCTCCTGAAGGGAAGAAGAATGAAGGTACAATCTAGGAATCCCACTACCAGTGAAGTCAGCAAGGCTCTGGGACACCTCATCTTTAATCTCTCAAATGGAAGGATTATGTCTGAGGGCAATTACCTCCACTTCCCAGTGCTTAGGGGACATCTGGCTGCTGTAGGCTTTGAATGGGAATGAAAGGGATTTATAGTCAACTTTGGGGGCGGGGTGAGCTTAAGGAGGGAATGATTGTAAAGACCTGAGGAAAAAACAGAAATTAAAGAGAAGAAAAAAATAGGCCCTTCATAGTCTCAGATTGTTGGTCTATATGCAGGATCTCTTCTCTCCCTCCCCCCTTTCTTCAGGGCCCCTCTTCAGGCCCCCTCTATGTCTTTGGGATTCATTCTTTTTCTTAAAAAGATTTATTTATGCATACAGAACTGGGTTTCATGCCAGAGGTGCAGGGGGTGAGAGGATTCCCCAGAGACAAAGCGGGGAGCAGAACAGGCAGACTGACTGAAATACACTGCTGAGGGGAGCAGCTGGTGATAAAGGAGAGGGCTGCTGCACCCTGTTGAGTTCATTCCCTGGCTGGGGAGAGAGCCCATGTCTCAGTGGCTGGTGACAGCTTGACAGTGCTGTGTCTTTCACACCTGTGCCACCAGGGAGGCCCCTGGGATTCCTTCTTTCTCCATATTTCTAAGATCTTCTGCACCTAGTACTCCCAGGCTAGTACTAAAGTGAGTCTTTAGGCCTCAGACTCTCCTAGCTCCACACAAGCACACTGCAACCCTCCCCCCTCCCCCCCAACTCCTCCTTATCCTGCAACTACCAGGCATGGTGTGAATAAATCTCTGAGGCAATTCTCTGCCCTCAAGGAGCTCAGGGATAGTTGGATTACACACAGCGAGTTACAGATTACAGTTAAAGCGGTGGAGAGAGCACAAACAGGGAGAGTCTCAGGTTCTTCTTCCCCCAAGGCTAGTCATATGGGTCCTTTCAGTTCCTCAAACTTGTCCTTTGCTTCTTAGCTGGGAGCCGTCTGCATCTGTGGTTTCCTGAATGGGACCCTCTCTTTTCGCTTCTGCTCACCCGCGAACTCCGTTGGGTTTCCCACAGGAAGGCTTCCCAGACTGGTCTACACACCACCTTTCTTCCCATCTCTGCTCTAGATGCTCCCCACCAGGCCCACAGCCCTCCTCTACCAAGCAACTGCTTGTTTTTACCGATTAGTAAATCCCAGGTGCACCGCAAGCGCGCGGCGCAGGACCAAGCTCTGGCTCGGGCGCCCGGGACCCTCCAGCCCAGACCCTTCCCCGCAAGCCCCGCCCCCCGGCAGAGACTCCTGCGGGCCCCGCCCCCTCACCTTCGCATTTGCTGGGCAGTCGAACCCAGTCGGTCTCCTCGGCGCGGGCCTGGCTGGGGCCCAGCTCCGGCCCGGGCAGCAGCAGTAGCAGAGGGAGAAGCACAAGACAGCGGGGACCGGACCGGGGCGAGGGCTCTGGCGACGGCTCCATGGCCCGGCCGGACCCGACCCGAGCGGACCGGGCTGCGCTTCCTCCGCGGCTGGCGCCGGGCAGCTTCCCCGACCCGCTTCCGGGACTGCACACGTGCCTGGCGTAACCACGGCAACGGCGAGCCCGGCCGGCTCCCGCCTCCGGCCGCCCCGGCCGCCTGCAGGCCGAGAAGGCCCGCGGATCACGCAACCAATGGGATTTTCGGGGTTTGCCCTCTAGCGAATGGGAGGCCGATATTTTTTCGGCCTCGGCCAATGAGAGGGCGCATGGTGTCCGCAGTGACCTATGGCGGCGTCTTTTCCCCAGCCCTAAAGGAGGCTTTGGGAGGGGCTGGAGGGCGGAGTGCCGGGACCCGAGCGGCGGACCAGCGGAGTGGAAGGGTTGGGGGCGCTGGTTCTCGAAGAAGTGGGGAAGGCCGTCTACTGTCTCCGCCGTCTGCGTAGACGTCACTTCCCTCCTGTGGTCAAAATGCAGCCAACCCTTCCTGGACACCTGCTTTTACATTTTATTATTATTTTGCTAGTTATTATTTTATTATTAGAGTTGCTGTTGTCATTGCCAGACACCCTAGTAGGCACCGTGGTGGGGGAGACCAAAAAAGGTCAGACAGTCCCCAGTGATAGTGCCCAGGAAGTGACCCTACGTTTGCCCCAGTAGAAACGGAAAGAAACAACTTTCTCTGGCCTTTCCTGGTGGCGCAAGGGTTAGGGCGCAGCGCTGGCCGCAGCCACTTCAGTGTAAGTTGGATCCCCACCCTGGAGCTGACCCACATGGTGGCAGACCTCTCCTGACCCCGCTCTCTGCTCCCCTCAGCACTGTACTTCGTAGATCTGCCTGTTCTGCTCCCCACTCTGTCTCTGATGAAGCTCTCACCGCCCCTGTACTCTGGCCTGTACCCAGTTCAGTATGCATAAATATAAATAATACTTAAAAAAAAAAACTTTTCTCTCTAGATTTCAGCTTTTTTCCCTCCAGGCTGCTGTTCCAGGTTCGCCTGTTGCTGGGAAGCTCAAAGTGGTTAATAGAATTACTGCGTACCCAGCCAATTGTAAACGTTCATGAATTAATTTTCTTTTCAGCGTGTGACCTCCCTTTTTGCCCTACTATTTACTTCTTTGAATTCTGATCTCCCTGGAGGTAGAGACTTGGCTTATGAGTGATTGTAGTTCCTGTCCACTTCTTCAGCACAAGAAGATGCCCAGTGAGACCTCCACCCGCTGTATCAGCCAGAGGGGACTTGCTGAGTCTCTAGGACTGCTTCAGGCCATGCTTGAGCTCAGTACCCTTTGTTTTGTTTTTGTTTTTTTATAAATTATAAAGATAATATTTTTAAAAAGATTTGTTTATTTATGTATACAGAACTGGGGTACAAGCCAGAGGTGCAGGGGCGGTGAGAGGGTTCACCAGAGACAGAGGGGGGAGCAGAACAGGCAGATCCATGAAGTAAACTGCTGAGGAGAGCAGCAGGCGGGTCAGAAGAGGTCTGCCACATCATGTGGATCATCTTTAGGGCTGGGATTGAACTCACACTGAAGCGGCTGCTGCTAGCTTGCAGTACTGCACCTTAAACATTTGCACCACCAGGGAGGGCCTGAGCTCAGCACCTTTTGGACATACAGGCCAAAGTTGGTTTTTCTGAGAAATTGCCTTCAAATTTCACTTTTTGCCCATGAAGTCCTGTTTCCCAGTGCCTTTCACTTGCTTCCTAGAGGGTGAATAATTCACTATTTTATGAAGACATTTAAGGACTAAGAGATGCAACCTTTTGCCGCCTTTATTTTTTGACCCTCACTTATTTTTTTTTAAGATTTATTTATGCATACAAGAGTTGGGGTGTAGGCCAGAGGGGTGGGGGTGTGTTTGAGAGAGAGGATTCATCAGAGACAGAGTGGGGAGCAGAATAGGTGGATTGACTGAACTACTCCCCTACAGGGAACATCAAGTGAGACAGGAGGAGTCTTCTGCCATGTGGGTCAGTTCCCTGGCCAGGGATTAAACTAGTGCTACAATGGCTGCTTATGGCTTGATGGTGCTGAGACTTAACTTTTTTTTTTTATAATAGTTTATTTTCACATCATGTTGTATGTTTCTTTTTTTTTCAATTGTAATCCCCGTGGGTTTCCCATCACCAAGTCACCCATGTGCCATCACCATAGTCCCGTGCACAGACTTAACTTTTTACTGAAGATAATAGTGTGGGTGAGCAGGTACTTTGGAGAAGCAGGGCCAGCATATGCATAATTCCACAGTGTACAGGAGCAGAAACGCCCTCCTGATATCCTCTGTATTCTCAAGGCTTCTAAAAACCAGGGGAACCTCAGAGCCTGGTCATGGCCCTAGATTTATGTAAGCCCAGGAATCCTCCTAAAAAACAACATTCAATCTGCCACACTGAAAACTCAGAGTCCAGGGCAGGGCAGAATTGGGTCACTGGGGTAAGGTTGGGAAAGCTAAGGGAAACCCTGCTTCCAAACATGAACAAAATGATCTCTGAAAGAACACTGGGGAAAAACTAGTTTGACAGGACCCGTGGGCTCAGCTTCTGTGCTAAGAACTGGGAAGGGACAGTTCTAAAGAAAGTCTGAGGTTAGAGCTGGCCACACCCTCACCCTGACCCATGCTTCCTATCTCAATTTGTGTGTTAAGAAAGGAGCAGTCCCTGTGCAGGTGATGGAAAGATTCATAGCTACAGTTGTAGGATAGCCAAAACCCTTCCCCATCCCCCGAGAATCCAAAAGAGAAACAAGAGAATCTCTGCAAGTGAGTGGCAGTAGAGACAGTGGGAGTTTTCATGGCACAGTAGCTAAGAAGCTTGAGAGGCCAGAGAAACATATGGGGGGGGGGGTTGTTAATGTATAGTTAGTTGCCCATCACCACCTTGGAGAGAGGAAGGCCAAGGTAACACCATTGACCCAGAAAACTGTCCTGTGTTGCCCAGGGACTTTTGGATTTTACATGAAAGCACTGAGAGATTCTTGGGGTGATTACTGAAGAACAATTGGGAAAGACAGTGCTGGGGAAGCTGGGGACACACAGATTACAACCCATGGTGGGTACCTTATAGTTCTATCATGCAAGAAGCTTCTTTAAGCAACAAAACAAAACAAAAACTTCTTTAGTACCTGGCTCAGATGTGATGCTCAATGAATACTTGTCAAATGAATAATGACCCTCAATTGATTAATAACATGGAAGTTTGCAATTACTATCCCTACTCTTGGCATTGGACGAGAGCATGTTACGGGGGGGATCTTGGCCCTCTTCACTTATGTCGAGTCTGTACAAGATTAGACATCAGGCCGAACACCCCACCTTCCTGGGTTCCTGGGCTCCTTGCCCTGACTTCTCCCAGAAGTTGGCCAGGGCCAGGAGGCAGAGTGGGAGCCTTGCCCTGTGCCTGGCTCTGGGAGGAGAAAGAGATGGGACAGCACCCTTCCCGGCTCCCACCCCCACTCTGTAATTCCTAGGGTCACCCTCTGCAACCCCTCTTCCTCAAGGATAACGTCTCAGACTTCTGCCTAGGCTAAGTCTGCCAACCAGACATGAATTATTATTTTTTTAAATTTCCTTGTGTCATTTAAGTTCTCCTTTAATTATCTGCATCTCAAAATACCCCTTGTGCCCAGATGGATCACCACTCTCAAGGGGACCCAGTCTGATGACTTTTTCTTTTCCCCCCTCAGAAAGACGTCTGTCGGCGGGGGAGACAGCGCTGCGGAAGCTCCTTTTCTGGGGCAAGGGGCCGGTCTGAGAAATGCTCCAAGGCTTGCGGCCGGAATCCGAGAGCTTGTCGTGCGCGCCGGGCGGGAGCTCCGGCAGCTCCCCTCCTCTCAGAGTGGGCGCCTCGGGCCCCGACGCGGAAGGCGGGTGTGATGCCCGCAGCCATCTGGAGACTCGTGGGGACCCACCGCGCGAGGTCTCGCTCTGCTGTCTCCCCATCACAGAGGAGAGGGCGGTGGCTGGGGGCCGCCGAGAGCCCCCTACCGCGCCGAGCCTGCGGGTGGAGAGGGCAGCCGGGCCGCGTGGCTGTGCAGGGCGCCGGGAGGCCGCGGGCTCGCGGGCCGGGTGCCCCGGCCGGGTCCACTCCCGCGGCGGCGGGCATGGCACGGAGGCGGCTGCAGGTCAGGAGCACGTCCACCAGCAGCAGCTTGAAGAGCAGCAGCCGCAGGGCCCCCAGCTGCAGCACCTGGCCCCGCGTCCCTGCCGGGAGAAGGAGCCATTAGGAGCTTGGAAACGCCCCACCGACACTCCCAGAAAGATGTTCACCACCGGTGACACCCTGCGACGGTCCGCCCCTTTGGCCCCAAATCCAGGGAAAGTCCTCCCTGGGGTCAAACCTCAGCATCTACTGGTGATCACAAAAAAATATCTTCCCAGCCTTCATTTTACTGTATTGGGGAACAACCAGGGGGGTGTAGGCCAGGCCTGAATTAGAATCTGCTGCAGAGGAGAGTCACCGGCTCAGAATCCTCTATTTCTCCATGGCCTGTGACTGTCCAATGGGGAGTGGGGTGTCACAGTCCCCAGGCAGTCTCTGGTAGGTACAAGTCTGCAAGGCTGCAACCATTCACCAGGCTGCCCAGGAAGCCCTGCCCTGCTGTTTGCCCTCACCTGCGCTTCTTACCTGGGGTCTAAGAACTCCTCTGGGGCCATCTCACCCACTGGGATTGAGGCCCGAGTCAGCCAGTGCCCTGCCTTAGCAAGGCAGCCTCTTCAAGAGTCACCCCACAAACCCCTCTCCCCCAGTCCCACCCATCAAGTCAAGGTTCCCAGTACTCACCCCTCAGAGACTCCCAGAGGCAGGTCCTGGCTGAGGAAGCCTTTCCTGTCAGTCAAGGGGAAGGGAGTGAGTCCTCTGGAGCAGCCCTCCACCCAGTGCTAGCTCCAGCCCTGCACAAGGCAGCAGTTCATGGCAAATTGGGTAAGTGAACAAATGAGCCAGTCAAGGGAGCCATGAGCCCGGTTACTGCAAGTCCTCTGAGAACCCCACTCCTACTCACTCCCTGCTGTGCCCTGTTTTGTGCCCCATGGAGGCTGAGGCACCTCCAAATTTTTACTTATTTATTTTTGCCCTAGAACTTTTGGACAAGGACTCAGTCGATTTTCTCAGTAGCTTTCTTTAAACGTAGAGCATATATTGAACAAACATTTTCATCTGGGAAATGACAGAATGACCATAATCCAAGTAATCCAAAAGTAGAATTAAGTGATCTGGTTAGTAATAATAATAGCTGGCTTTGGGGGTGCTACTTAGCCTCTCTGTGACTGCAAAATGGAAACCATATGATTTACTTTATGAATGTGAAATGTTTAGAATAAATACTCAATAAGTGATAACAATGCAGTACTTAGTTATTAGTTTTTTAAAAAGAATTATTCCTTTATTGTAAGATTATTTTATTTATTTTTGTATAGGAGAACTGAGGAGTAGACCAGAGGTGTGGGTGGTGAGAGGATTCACCAGAGACAGAGTGGGGAGCAGAACAGGCAGATACACAGCTGAGGGGGGCAGCGGGTGAGACAGGAGAAGTCTGATGGGCCATGTGGGTCAGCTCTCTGGGCAGGGGTTGAACTTAGGCAGCTTTGCCACAGGAGTCTTTGTGGTGGTGGAGCTGAGACTTAACCCCTAGGCCACCATCATTAGTACTTAATTGTTGTTTGACCCTAGTAGGTAAGAGGTCAACTATAGGGAGACAGATGGGTAGAAATTGAGATTTCTTGAGTTGTATCTGCATCTTTCTGTGTAACAGGGAAGTGATGCATCAGAGCTTGGATTTGAGACAGATCATGAATAAACCTGAGGACTCAGGGCCCCAGGGCTACCCTGCTGAGCCCAGGGTCACCCCAGTTAGGTGGTCTGCGTTGGACACCCTTCCTGCCCCCACACCGGGAGCCTTCCTGCCCCCACACCCGGGAGCCTTCCTGCCCCCACACCCTTCCTGCCCCCACACCCGGGAGCCTTCTCCCATATTCTAGCTCCAGGTATGTTAGCAGGGCTAAGGAGCATCCATGGGGCTTCAGGCTCCACTCCTACCTGATAGCTGCAGCGGCTGAGTGCTCCAGCTGAGGTTCCGGGGCCCAGTGTGGCATACCAGCTTCTCCCAGGCTGCTAGCTCCTCACAGGGCATGGAGAGCTGGGCTAACCTAGTCCAGGTGCCATCAGCGGCTGGAGAAGGGCCATAGGTGAAGGCCTCCAGTGCGCTGCCATTGCCAGCTGAGAACCAGATGGGGCTCTCCAGGCCAGGGGCTGCAATATTGAGGACCAGGCAGACCACCAGCATCTGTTGCTTCCCATCTACCAGTAGTGTGATTGGTGGGGCCAGAGAAGGGAAGGGTGTGTCACCCAAACCTGCAAGAAAGCACACACCTGTGTGGGTCCTGTCCATGCCCTCCCAGGCCAGCATCACTATCCTTCCATCTAGTTTTCTGTCCTTTTAGCTAGCTCCCACCAGCCATGACCCACCCACTTGTCCAGCCCTCGCTTTTCATGCACCATCTAAGCACTCTTCTCTCTCTGATTAGTCCACCATCTACTTATCCATCCTTTTTCCTTTTTAAAAGATTTATTTATGGCCCTCCCTGGTGGCGCAGTGGGTTAAAGCACAGCATTGAGAAGCTAAAGCCACTTGCACATGAGTTCGATTCCCACCTGCCCCGGAGGTGACCACATGGCATGGCAGACCCCTCCTGACCCGCCCGCTGCTCCCCTCAGCAGTGTACTTCGTCAGTCTGCCTGTTCTGCTCCCCACTCTGCCTCTGGTGAAGCTTTTCGCCACCCCTGCACCTCTGGCCTGTACCCCAGCTCTGTATGCATAAATAAATCTTTTTTTTTAAACAAAAAGATTTATTTATTATGAATACAAGAACTGGGGTACAGGCCAGAGGTGCCCGGTGGTGAAAGGATTCACCAGAGACAGAGCAGGGAGCAGAACAGGCAGTTCTGGTTCCTCCTTGGTGGCGCAACAGGTTAAAACTCAGCAATGTGAAGTTAGCCACAGCTGCTTCAGCACAAATTCTATCCTGGGAGCTGACCCACATGGCGCGGCAGACCTCTCCTATCTCACCCACTGCTCCCCTCAGCAGTGTACTTCATCAATCTGTCTGCTCTGCTCCCCACTCTGTCTCTGGTGAATCCTCTCACCACCCCTGCCTCTCTGTCCTGAACCCCAGCTCTGTATGCATAAATAAATATTAAAAAAAAAAAACAGGCAGATATGCTGAAACACACTGCTAAGGGGAGCAGTGGGTGAGACAGGAGAGGTCTGCTGACCCATGTGGGTCACCTCCCTGGCTAAGGATGGAACTCATGCTGCAGTGGCTGGCAATAGCTTGCCACTGGGGGCTGAGAGGTACCAGGGAGGCCCCTAAACTATAAGCTACTAAAAGAAAAAGAAAAGTAACTTAGAAGCCCCGCATGGGCTGGTAACTAGCCCACTAGGGATTTTTTTTTTATATTTATTTGTGTATAAAGAACTGGGGTACAGGCCAGAGGTGCAGGGGTGGTGGGGAGGACTCACCAGAGACAGAGGAGGAAGCAGAACAGGCAGATTGACTGAAATACACTGCTGAGGGGAGCAGCGGGTGAGAGAGGAGAGGTCTGCCGTGCCCTGTGTGTCAGCTCCCCGGGTGGGGTTGAACGCTTGCAGAGGCAGATTTGGCTAGCTTTGTAGTGCTGAACTATAATCCGTTGCACCACCCCCACTAGAGATTTGAACTCAGGTCTCTGTGACTCTAAATCCCACAGGCCACTCCACTTGGAAAATTTTGCGGCATAACACTGTGAACCAAGCTTGGGACTCCGCCTCACTGGACACCAGAAAGCAAGTCAATCCCATCCCGTGTCCCATGAGGTGGAGTCCCAAGCTTGTCTCATTGATATAATAGAATTAATAACAACAGTCCAGCAAAGTTGTAGAGCAGAGGTCATGAACGTAATGTGTGTCGATGTATATTATCCATACTAATGTTAATAAGGCATCGCAAATAAAGGGAATCGAGAAGGCAAGAAGGGAGCTCCAATACCCTCAACCTCCCAAGCCTCTTCATTTGTGCAGCTAGAGACACTCCAAGTTCAGCTCAGCTTCCCCCTTCTCCGTGAATCCTGCCAAGGTGGCTCTTGCTGATCCTGGCAGCTTCCTTCTCAGAGCTCAGGTCTCTTGCCGTGAGGTCACTCTGCTCCTGCTGCCTGTGGCTAATCTCTCCATCTAGGGAGAGCCTATGACATCCTGGGGGCCAGTTTTAGATCAAGAAATGCACTGACTCAAAAGTCAAGAACCTTCTCTATGACATACATGCAACACACACATGCAAACACACACATGCGTCTCGATGATGCTGAAATTTGCAGAGTTCAGCCCTTGGCTCCAGCCTTGATCTTGGAGACTGAAGGTAAATAACCCTGGAAGTCATTGAGACTTGGGACCTCTAATGGGCTCTCCTTGATGAAGGGGAGTGAAGGTGAGCCACTCTAAGCCCTGTTGGAATAGGGCCCCCCACCCAATGTCTCATCACCCCAAGTTCCATAACAGTCTTGGCTCTCCCCTCCCCACCTCCTGTGAATGTCGTCCAAGGGGTGACTGCCCTCCCTACCAACTCTGCGGAGCATGGAGGTGGGGCTCCAAATTGAGGTAGCTGGAGGTCAAGTACAATGAGGAAGGGGATGGTGGCTTTTTAGTGAGACCCCAAATGGCTCTGTCCTGCTTCCTGACATCCAGTCCATACCCAGAAAGACCAGAGCAAGGGGGTGGGTTTGGGCAACCTAGTGGGGCAAAGAAAGGTCTTACCTGTGGGCAGGGCTGGACACCCGAGGGCCAGGAGGAGCAGAAGCCAAACCTGCACCATGGCCTACATGAGAGAAGCAGGACCCAGCTGCCGACCTGAGGTGTGGGCTGGGGAAGAGGCGCCCACAAGACAGCCTCCCAGGCCACAGGCCCAGCTGCACCTCAGCTGCTCCACCACGGAGCCGTTTCCCTGGGTGAGAGGCCTCCCCCAACCCCCACCACCCTGGCCCCCAAACTCAGTCCTCTCTCACTGGGCCTGGGAACTCAGAGTGTCACTCCCACACCAGGAGCTGGATACTCATATTCCCTCCCAACTGAAAGAGCACTTCACAGCCTGAAAGACTTTCTCCTGCTGCCAGCCCTGCTGGAGGGCAGTTGCCATCTTCAGGGAACAGAGCCCCGAGTTGGGTTTCCGGAGCAGCACCTCATACCCTCAACCTCTGTGAGTTCCATTTCACTGCAAGACAACAGAGGCTCAGAGAAGTCAAGGGACCTGCCAACGCCACACAGCTGGCAGTGGCAGAACCAGGGCGGGAACTGTTTCCTGAGGACTGGCCTTACTAGTGCTAAAAAAGATGCTTGACACACTTATTTACATGTTGTTAACCTCCCTGTTTCAAATAGAATTTATTTTTCAGAGCAGTTTCAGCTTTACAGCAAAATTGAGCAGAAAGTACAGTAATTCCCCTTATAGTGACATTAAACCTCTGTTCAAAAATAAACTTCTTGGGCCCTCCCTGGTGGCACAATGGGCTAAAGCGCAGCACCATGAAACTATCACAGCCACTGCAGCATGAGTCCGATCCCCACCCAGGGGTGTGACCCACATGGCACAGAAGACCTGTCCTGACCCGCCTGCTGTTCCCCTCAGAGTGTATTTCAGTCAATCTGTCTGTTCTGCTCCCCTCCCTGTCCCCTCACTCCCTGCCCCTCTGGCCTGTACCCCAGTTTTGTATGCATAAGTAAAAAATTTAAAAAAAACTCATCGATGCCATTTTCGGTGACTCCATTACATTTTAGCTAGAGATGTCACTTTGACTGAACTTTTGCACTGAGGCATATACCCGAGTGAAATATTAAAATGTCTAGTCATCACAAGGCAAGGATTTATACATAAAAT